CCAGGTGAGTGAGAACTGGGCCGGGTTGCCGAACTCCTCGATGCCAGGGCAGGAGATGGCCTTGCTCTCTCTCTCTCACTCTCACTCTCTCTCTCTCACCCTCACTCTCTCTCTCTCACCCTCACTCTCTCTCTCACTCTCTCACACTCTCTCTCACCTTGAACCAGGTGAGTGAGAACTGGGCCGGGTTGCCGAACTCCTCGATGCCGGGGCAGGAGATGGCCTTGCTCTCTCTCTCTCTCACCCTCACCCTTACTCTCACCCTCTCTCTCACCCTGTCTCTCACCTTGAACCAGGTGAGTGAGAACTGGGCCGGGTTGCCGAACTCCTCGATGCCGGGGCAGGAGATGGCCTTGCTCTCTCTCTCTCTCACCCTCTCTCTCACTCTCTCTCTCACCCTCACCCTCTCACCCTCACTCTCTCACACTCTCACTCACCTTGAACCAGGTGAGTGAGAACTGGGCCGGGTTGCCGAACTCCTCGATGCCGGGGCAGGAGATGGCCTTGCTCTCTCTCTCTCACCCTCTCTCTCACACTCTCTCACACACTCTCTCTCTCTCCACCCTCTCTCTCACACTCTCACACTCTCTCTCACCCTCACTCTCTCACACTCTCTCTCACCTTGAACCAGGTGAGTGAGAACTGGGCCGGGTTGCCGAACTCCTCGATGCCGGGGCAGGAGATGGCCTTGCTCTCTCTCTCTCTCACCCTCTCTCTCACTCTCTCTCTCACCCTCACCCTCTCACCCTCACTCTCTCACACTCTCACTCACCTTGAACCAGGTGAGTGAGAACTGGGCCGGGTTGCCGAACTCCTCGATGCCGGGGCAGGAGATGGCCTTGCTCTCTCTCTCTCACCCTCTCTCTCACACTCTCTCACACACTCTCTCTCTCTCCACCCTCTCTCTCTCACACTCTCACACTCTCTCTCACCCTCACTCTCTCACACTCTCTCTCACTCACCTTGAACCAGGTGAGTGAGAACTGGGCCGGGTTGCCGAACTCCTCGATGCCGGGGCAGGAGATGGCCTTGCTCTCTCTCTCTCACCCTCTCTCTCACACTCTCTCACACACTCTCTCTCTCTCTCCACCCTCTCTCTCACACTCTCTCACTCTCTCTCACCCTCTCTCTCTCTCACTCTCTCTCACACTCTCACTCACCTTGAACCCGGTGAGTGAGAACTGGGCCGGGTTGCCGAACTCCTCGATGCCGGGGCAGGAGATGGCCTTGCTCTCTCACTCTCTCTCACCCTCACTCTCTCTCACCTTGAACCAGGTGAGTGAGAACTGGGCCGGGTTGCCGAACTCCTCGATGCCGGGGCAGGAGATGGCCTTGCTCTCTCGCTCTCTCTCACCCTCACTCTCTCTCACCTTGAACCAGGTGAGTGAGAACTGGGCCGGGTTGCCGAACTCCTCGATGCCGGGGCAGGAGATGGCCTTGCTCTCTCGCTCTCTCACCCTCTCTCTCTCTCTCTCACCCTCTCTCTCTCCACCATCACTCACCTTGAACCAGGTGAGTGAGAACTGGGCCGGGTCGCCGAACTCCTCGATGCCGGGGCAGGAGATGGCCTTGCTCTCTCTCTCTCTCACTCTCTCTCTCACACTCTCTCTCACCCTCACTCTCTCTCACTCTCTCTCACCTTGAACCAGGTGAGTGAGAACTGGGCCGGGTCGCCGAACTCCTCGATGCCGGGGCAGGAGATGGCCTCACTCTCTCTCTCTCACCCTCTCTCTCACACTCACTCTCACCCTCACTCTCTCTCTCTCACACACTCTCTCTCACCCTCTCTCTCTCCACCATCACTCACCTTGAACCAGGTGAGTGAGAACTGGGCCGGGTTGCCGAACTCCTCGATGCCGGGGCAGGAGATGGCCTTGCTCTCTCTCTCTCTCACCCTCACTCTCACCCTCACTCTCTCTCGCACTCTCACCCTCACTCTCTCACACTCTCTCCACCATCACTCACCTTGAACCAGGTGAGTGAGAACTGGGCCGGGTTGCCGAACTCCTCGATGCCGGGGCAGGAGATGGCCTTGCTTTCTCTCACTCTCACACACTCTCACTCTCCCTCTCACACTCTCTCTCACCTTGAACCAGGTGAGTGAGAACTGGGCCGGGTTGCCGAACTCCTCGATGCCGGGGCAGGAGATGGCCTTGCTTTCTCTCACTCTCACACACTCTCACTCTCACCCTCACTCTCTCACACTCTCTCTCACCTTGAACCAGGTGAGTGAGAACTGGGCCGGGTTGCCGAACTCCTCGATGCCGGGGCAGGAGATGGCCTTGCTCTCTCTCTCTCACCCTCTCTCTCTCCACCATCACTCACCTTGAACCAGGTGAGTGAGAACTGGGCCGGGTTGCCGAACTCCTCGATGCCGGGGCAGGAGATGGCCTTGCTCTCTCTCTCTCACCCTCTCTCTCACACTCTCTCTCACCTTGAACCAGGTGAGTGAGAACTGGGCCGGGTTGCCGAACTCCTCGATGCCGGGGCAGGAGATGGCCTCGCTCTCTCTCTCTCACTCTCGCTCTCTCACCCTCTCTCTCTCTCTCTCACCCTCTCTCTCTCCACCATCACTCACCTTGAACCAGGTGAGTGAGAACTGGGCCGGGTTGCCGAACTCCTCGATGCCGGGGCAGGAGATGGCCTTGCTCTCTCTCTCTCTCTCACCCTCACTCTCACACTCTCTCACACACTCTCACCCTGTCTCTCACCTTGAACCAGGTGAGTGAGAACTGGGCCGGGTTGCCGAACTCCTCGATGCCGGGGCAGGAGATGGCCTTGCTCTCTCTCTCACCCTCTCTCTCACACTCTCTCACACACTCTCTCTCTCTCTCACTCTCTCTCACACTCTCTCTCTCACACTCTCTCACTCTCTCTCACACTCTCTCCCTCTCTCTCTCACCTTGAACCAGGTGAGTGAGAACTGGGCCGGGTTGCCGAACTCCTCGATGCCGGGGCAGGAGATGGCCTTGCTCTCTCTCTCTCACCCTCTCTCTCACACTCTCTCACACACTCTCTCTCTCTCCACCCTCTCTCTCACTCTCACACTCTCTCTCACCCTCACTCTCTCCCTCTCTCTCTCACCTTGAACCAGGTGAGTGAGAACTGGGCCGGGTTGCCGAACTCCTCGATGCCGGGGCAGGAGATGGCCTTGCTCACTCTCTCTCTCACCCTCTCTCTCACTCTCTCTCACCCTCACTCTCTCCCTCTCTCTCTCACCTTGAACCAGGTGAGTGAGAACTGGGCCGGGTTGCCGAACTCCTCGATGCCGGGGCAGGAGATGGCCTCACTCTCTCTCTCACCCTCTCTCTCACACTCTCTCACACACTCTCTCTCTCTCCACCCTCTCTCTCACACTCTCACACTCTCTCTCACCCTCACTCTCTCCCTCTCTCTCTCACCTTGAACCAGGTGAGTGAGAACTGGGCCGGGTCGCCGAACTCCTCGATGCCGGGGCAGGAGATGGCCTTGCTCTCTCTCTCACTCTCTCTCACCCTCACTCTCTCTCACCTTGAACCAGGTGAGTGAGAACTGGGCCGGGTTGCCGAACTCCTCGATGCCGGGGCAGGAGATGGCCTTGCTCTCTCTCTCACACACTCTCTCTCACACTCTCTCTCACCTTGAACCAGGTGAGTGAGAACTGGGCCGGGTCGCCGAACTCCTCGATGCCGGGGCAGGAGATGGCCTTGCTCTCTCACTCTCTCTCACCCTCTCTCTCTCACTCACCTTGAACCAGGTGAGTGAGAACTGGGCCGGGTTGCCGAACTCCTCGATGCCGGGGCAGGAGATGGCCTTGCTCTCTCTCTCTCTCACCCTCACTCTCACCCTCACTCTCTCGCACTCTCACCCTCACTCTCTCACACTCTCTCCACCATCACTCACCTTGAACCAGGTGAGTGTGAACTGGGCCGGGTTGCCGAACTCCTCGATGCCGGGGCAGGAGATGGCCTTGCTCTCTCTCTCTCACCCTCTCTCACACTCTCTCTCACACTCTCTCACACACTCTCTCTCTCTCACCCTCACTCTCTCCCACTCTCTCTCACCTTGAACCAGGTGAGTGTGAACTGGGCCGGGTTGCCGAACTCCTCGATGCCGGGGCAGGAGATGGCCTTGCTCTCTCTCTCTCTCTCACCCTCACTCTCTCACTCTCTCACACACTCTCTCTCTCTCACCCTCTCTCAGACACTCTCTCTCTCACACTCTCTCACTCTCTCTCACCCTCACTCTCTCTCACTCTCTCTCACCTTGAACCAGGTGAGTGAGAACTGGGCCGGGTTGCCGAACTCCTCGATGCCGGGGCAGGAGATGGCCTTGCTCTCTCTCTCACTCTCACTCTCTCACCCTCACTCTCACCCTCACCCTCTCTCACTCTCTCACTCTCTCTCTCACACTCACCTTGAACCAGGTGAGTGAGAACTGGGCCGGGTTGCCGAACTCCTCGATGCCGGGGCAGGAGATGGCCTTGCTCTCTCTCTCTCACCCTCTCTCTCACACTCCCTCTCACCTTGAACCAGGTGAGTGAGAACTGGGCCGGGTTGCCGAACTCCTCGATGCCGGGGCAGGAGATGGCCTTGCTCTCTCTCTCTCACCCTCTCTCTCACACTCCCTCTCACCTTGAACCAGGTGAGTGAGAACTGGGCCGGGTCGCCGAACTCCTCGATGCCGGGGCAGGAGATGGCCTTGCTCTCTCTCACTCTCACACACTCACTCTCTCTCTCACCCTCACTCTCTCTCACCTTGAACCAGGTGAGTGAGAACTGGGCCGGGTCGCCGAACTCCTCGATGCCGGGGCAGGAGATGGCCTTGCTCTCTCTCACCCTCACTCTCTCTCTCTCTCACTCTCTCTCTCACCCTCACTCTCTCTCACCTTGAACCAGGTGAGTGAGAACTGGGCCGGGTTGCCAAACTCCTCGATGCCGGGGCAGGAGATGGCCTTGCTCTCTCTCTCTCTCTCACCCTCACTCTCTCTCACTCTCTCTCTCACCCTCACTCTCTCTCACCTTGAACCAGGTGAGTGAGAACTGGGCCGGGTTGCCGAACTCCTCGATGCCGGGGCAGGAGATGGCCTTGCTCTTGCCCAGCTCGGCCCTCTCGGGGTGCCGCAGGCGCGGGTCGAAGCAGGCTGCTCCGTCGCTCTCCAGCACGCGCAGCGACATCGACACCTTCATGCAGTAGCTCGTGTTGCTGGGCCGCACGCACAGGGGGAGGGTGACGAGGGTGACGAGGGTGACGAGGGTGACGAGGGTGGTGAGGGTGACGAGGGTGACGAGGGTGACGAGGGTGGCGAGGGTGGTGAAGTTGGTGAGGGTGACGAGGGTGGTGGTGATGAGGGAGATGATGGTGAAGAGGGTGGTGAAGGTGACGAGGGTGACGAGGGTGACGAGGGTGGTGAGGGTGACGATGGTGACGAGGGTGGTGATGGTGACGAGGGTGGTGAGGGTGGTGATGGTGACGAGGGTGGTGAGGGTGGTGAGGGTGACGAGGGTGGTGAGGGTGGTGAGGGTGACGAGGGTGGTGAGGGTGACGAGGGTGGTGAGGGTGACGATGGTGACGAGGGTGGTGAGGGTGACGAGGGTGACGAGGGTGACGAGGGTGACGAGGGTGGTGAAGTTGGTGAGGGTGACGAGGGTGGTGGTGATGAGGGAGATGATGGTGAAGAGGGTGGTGAAGGTGACGAGGGTGACGAGGGTGACGAGGGTGGTGAGGGTGACGATGGTGACGAGGGTGGTGAAGGTGACGAGGGTGACGAGGGTGGTGAAGGTGACGAGGGTGACGATGGTGACGAGGTAGGGGGTGGTGACGAGGTAGGGGGTGGTGATGGTGACGAGGGAGGGGGTGGTGAGGGTGACGAGGGTGGTGAGGGTGACGAGGGTGACGATGGTGACGAGGGTGGTGAGGGTGACGATGGTGACGAGGGTGGTGAGGGTGACGATGGTGACGAGTGTGACGAGGGTGACGAGGGTGGTGAGGGTGATGAGTGTCCCCCACGTGTGTCCCCCCCCCCGTGACCCCCCCCCCGTGTCCCCCACGTGACCCCCCCCCCCCCCCCCAGCGCGTGCTCACCGCAGCACGCAGGTGTAGAGGCCGCCGTCGGCCGAGGTGGCCGGGCGGAACCAGAGGGCGTCGCCCTCCTTGCCCACGCGGGGAGCGGCGAGCGCCAGCGGCTCCTCGGCCTCGCCGTGGGCAGCGCTGCGGTACCACATGAGGCTCAGGCCAGACGCCTGGTGGTGGGGGGGTGGTGGGGGGGTGGTGGGGGGTAGTGGGGGGTAGTGGGGAGGTGGACAGACACACAGAGAGACTCACAGACACACAGAGACACACAGAGAGACTCACAGACATACATAGAGATACATAGAGACTCAAACACACACAGATACATAGAGACTCACACACACACAGATACATAGAGACTCACACACAGATACATAGAGACTCACACACACACACAGACACATAGAGACTCACACACAGACACATAGAGACTCACACACAGACACACAGAGAGACTCACAGACACACAGAGACACACAGAGAGACTCACAGACATACATAGAGATACATAGAGACTCACACACACACACAGATACACAGACACATAGAGACTCACACACACACACAGATAGATAGACTCACACACACACACAGATACATAGAGACTCACACACACACAGATACATAGAGACTCACACACACACACAGATACATAGAGACTCACAGACATACATAGAGATACATAGAGACTCAAACACACAGATACACAGACACATAGAGACTCACACACACAGATACATAGAGACTCACACACACACAGATACATAGAGACTCACACACACACAGATACATAGAGACTCACACACAGATACATATAGACTCACACACACAGATACATAGAGACTCACACACACACAGATACATAGAGACTCACAGACATACATAGAGATACATAGAGACTCACACACACAGATACATAGACACATAGAGACTCACACACACAGATACATAGACACACACACAGATACATAGAGACTCACATACACAAATACATAGAGACACACACACACACAGATACATAGAGAATCACACACACAGATACATAGAGACTCACACACACACACAGATAGATAGAGACTCACACACACACACAGATACATAGAGACTCACACACACACACAGATACATAGAGACTCACACACACAGATACACAGACACATAGAGACTCACACACACAGATATATAGAGACTCACAGACACACACAGATACATAGAGACACACACACACAGATACAGAGAGACTCACACACACACAGATACATAGAGACTCACACACACACAGATACATAGAGACTTACACACACACAGATACATAGAGACTCACACACACACGCAGATACATAGAGACTCACACACACACAGATATATAGAGACTCACAGACATACATAGAGATACATAGAGACACACACACACAGATACATAGAGACTCACACACACAGATACATAGAGACTCACACACACACACAGATAGATAGAGACTCACACACACAGATACATAGAGACTCACACACACACACAGATAGATAGAGACTCACACACACACACAGATACATAGAGACTCACACACACACACACAGATACATAGAGACTCACACACACAGATACACAGACACATAGAGACTCACACACACAGATATATAGAGACTCACAGACACACACAGATACATAGAGACACACACACACAGATACAGAGAGACTCACACACACACAGATACATAGAGACTCACACACACACACAGATACATAGAGACTTACACACACACAGATACATAGAGACTCACACACACACACAGATACATAGAGACTCACACACACACAGATATATAGAGACTCACAGACATACATAGAGATACATAGAGACACACACACACACAGATACATAGAGACTCACACACACAGATACATAGAGACTCACACACACAGATACATAGAGATACATAGAGACTCACACACACAGATACATAGAGATACATAGAGACTCACACACACACACAGATACATAGAGACTCACACACACAGATACATAGAGACTCACACACACACAGATACATAGAGACTCACACACACAGATACATAGAGACTCACACACACAGATACATAGAGATACATAGAGACTCACACACACAGATACATAGAGATACATAGAGACTCACACACACACACACAGATACATAGAGACTCACACACACAGATACATAGAGACTCACACACACAGATACATAGAGATACATAGAGACTCACACACACA